TTGTGGGTAGTAAGTATGTTTTCCACACGGACAATTGAAATGATGTCTTATCTCATAAAATCAACCAACACACTTGTGTTTCAAAAAAATTTTAAAAGAGGAACTACGTGTACCATGATCCTCTATTGCATGAAAGGTGGTACGTAGGCACTAAAGGTTCGCAACCGCGTCGGGTGCAAAAATCATAAAAATATTTCTTTTCTCACCTCCACCATCCATTTTATATACAACACATTTTTATAGCCAAAATATACAGATTTTTCAAAGAGGTTCCTACGGATTACCGTAGATATTTAGGGTGCTAATACCTTCCCTTTGCATAACCAACCCCCTTACCTTGAATCTTTCCCCCTCTTTTTGGGTTATTCGCTCTTTTCCCATTCCTTTGGAAACAATAAAGCGCGGTGGCGATTTTTATTTTGATTTGTATAAAGTCTAGTCAATTCAATGGCTTAGTCTTGAACATTTCTACCGCTACATAAAAAAAAGGGAAACTAAACACTCATAGACAAGCATTTAGCAAATACAACATGGATATCGACAAAAAGCTCGAAGGGGTTACTAATGATCACACACTCACAAGGTGAATTGGTTATTTGGCTAGGTAGTTGTGCTCAAAATGGAACAAAAAATTCCTTGATCACTTTCTTGCATTCATACAATCAACACAAAACAAAAGATTAAGCATAATAAAATTCAGTTAAAACAAGCATTGTGGTCTCCAGCATATATGAACAATGGAAAGCTACCTCACAAAAAGTGTAGGAACAAAAGTGATTCACAAATGAACAAGTATATAAAAGAATGAATGGCATTAAAATTGTAAAAAGTATAAGTATCATGAATATGCTAAAGTATAGAAAGTGATAAACACATACCTCGAACGTGTATAAAACTTTAACAAAATCATTATCACGCATTCGTAAGTCGAAACGATCAAACTTTCCAAATCACCTCAATATTCTACAAGTTACCGGACCAAAACTTGAGTACAAACAACAATAAAAGAATTAGAAAAATAATACTCTTACAAAATTTCAATGTACAAAATTTACAATATATACAATGAAGAAAACTCCTCAAGCTAAACACAACAAGCTTTCAGAAAACACAAATTGACATAACAAAAAAAATATAAATAACGATATGAAAACCAGGTGAAATGAATTATCAAGTTGAAAAGTGAAGATTTTAAATTCAAAACATTTCCTTGTTTCAACTTGTTAAAGCACAAATCACCACACACATAAACAAATACAAACAAACATGCTTGTTTTGCATCGTAAGCTCGACACCTTTATTGTGTGAGCTAGTAACCTTCTCTCATCATGCCATGGTATTGTCACTACGTGCAAACCTAAAGAAAGTGCTCCACCTTTGAGGCCTCCAGTAGCCTTGACCATCATGATCTCCATGGGTTCGAAAAATTTAGCATCACCAACATAAAGAGAGTCAGTGCCCACCTTCATTGAAACTTTTGGCTTTTCGCCAAACTGTAACCTTCCGTCTTTCAGCGCTTTTTGGACCAAATCCTTGAAAATAACACATTGAGAAGTTTTATGATCCAATAAATTGTGATATTTACAAAAACCTCTTTTTTGCTTTTGCTCTAATGGTAGATTTTTTAAACCCAGAGGTACTATAATTTGACCATCTGATACTAACACATCAAATATTTGATCACATTTTGTAACATCAAAAGTATAAGTTTTAGCCACAAACTTATCATTTTTAGGTTCATCAGAATTTTTTCTATTCAAGGGTTTTAAATCTATACAGAAATATGGAGGGCCAGGTTTCGGTTCTACCACGTTAACCTCTCACTCCTCTATGTATCCGTTCGCCCATTCTAAAGGATATTCCTCAGTGTCGACATACACAGTTTTCTCTTTTTATGACTTTTTGAGGTTCTGGTTTTCTCAGCTCTCAAGCGTTCGACTTACCGAACCCTATAAGCAAACTGAGCCATGTCCCTAAGGGATTGGGTGTCTTTGTTTATTCCTAATAGAATAATCTAAACATCCAGCATCTATTTCTACCAGTACGTGTTCAAGAACTCTGGTGAAACACCTGGCTTTGAGTAATTTAAACCTGTTCAAGTAATCTTCTATCGTCTCAGCCGTCTTTTTCCTAACACTAGACAACTCCTTAAGACTTATCTTGGGTTGACCCATGTAAAATAGTTCATGAAAAGTACCCTCTAGTTGATCCCAGGTTCATATAGAGTTAAGGGTAAGAGTTATGAATCAAGTGAATGCATTTCTGGTCAACAAACTGGGGAAATACCTCTTTTTCAACCCTTCATCGTTAGAGATATCCCCAGCTTCAATTTCAAACCTAGTTATGTTTTTGACAGTCGACTCGTTAGTTACGCCAACGAACTTAGTAAATTTAGGTACTTTACATCCCCGGGGTAATTATATCCATCGAATATAATCAGGCAAGGGAGAGGTATAATTGGGCCTGTGGAAACCAACACTAAGCCCACTTAGTGCTAAAATTCTTTGACTACATTTGCTATTTTATTTTGCCCTACGAGATTATTCACGTTCCTGAGGACGCGGTTGGTATCTTGGTTTCTTTGTACCAAGACTGGCCTAGGTTCATATTGCTCTACAAAATATTCCTCCTCGTCAGTAATATATTCTTGCAATCGAAACCTAGCATGCTACTCTTGGTTTACTAGAGGTACTTCCTCCTTTACTATCTCAACTGGCCTCACATTAGACCATATAGGTCTCTAGCATGTTTGTACTAGTTGAACGTTAAATGCCTTGAGCATTCGACTTATTTGATTCACCATTGGGATGAAAATGATTCCCATTTGGTGAGTTAGATTATTTACTAACTCGAGATTCCTTTCATCCAATTGTTGTCACAACGCCATCACTGAAGTCGTATTCAACGATGGTGTCGTATGGGGGATATACCATATTCCCCCTCTTCGACCACTGGGATTTGTAGTTGCAGCAAGCATACTTTGATATAAAAAAAGATGATGGCCTGGTAGCCATCATATTATTAGCGTAATTTGATACGTTCGACTGAAGAGCAACCATTATCGACGGGGACATACCATATTGGTACTGTCCCAAATGCATTAATCCTACTTGGAATAGCGCTCTCGTGGTATTAAAAGGAGACCCTCCCCCATATCTTGGTCATGTTGCAACAATTGTCATTGAACCAGTACCAATAATCCTAACAGGGGACAAAACGGTTGCACCCTGTGTTGTGGAAGCCATCAGTATGACATCTACATTTCGTGAAGTATTATGTGCAGGGTCAGAAGTGTTGTGTCTTTGCTAGAACGTGACATTTTAGACAATTGTTTCTCATTTCTTAAATTCATACATGATCAAGCGTACACAAATAAAATATTTCACACTATAGAAAACTCTGAAGAATTTAACTAGCACTGTCTCACTAGGCGTGCCAATTTGTTTACCCTAGAAATTGGTAAACAACGCTAGTCTCTTGTTAAAGGTTGTTTTTCCAGATTAACTAGTGAATCTTAGGACAATGCTTCAATTTCAAAGTGTTTTCAAAATAAGACGTGATAAGTGATTTAGATGTAAGTAATTTCGACACGGTGTGAAATCTATTCGTTTTATAAAATGATAATGATATTGGTAAAACTAAAAAGCTTGAAAGATAAAGGAAATTTGCAAGACTTAAATAAAGTTGAAAGTAAATTTGCTTGATATTAAAATGGAAGAAAATCTGGTGATGCAAATATAAATTGTCATTGCTTGACTCATTTCGCTCGTAGTTTAGGTACTCTAAGTGTTTGCGTAAGGTTTGAATAATTTTGAATCCTATATAACTATTTACAATATCTTATTTATAGTATGAAAAGGTAACAGCTTTTTTGATAGGCTTCTCTTCTCTAGGCGCCACATGTCTGCCAGTTCCTTGCTTTTCTTTTTTACATTTCCATATTCTCAAACCTACTAGCGAACAACCTTTCTCCTGCGTTCGACTTTTCCCAATTGTCAACCACAAACATGATCTTCAGGTCACCGTTGTGTCTTCTGTCGATTTAACCCTCTTCTTTCTTACAAAATTACTCTAAGTCCAGATTTCTGATCGACCTATCTCTTACTTTTTATGTCATCTTCAACCACATCATTTTCCTTATATGAATTTTGCCTTTGTCGAAATCTCAATTAATAACGCGTTGAGATTTTAAAGTGTTACAGTTCTTATATGTGTGTTTCATAGTAATGATTCATAATTGGTTTGTGTTAATCCACAATACATCTTCTGTGACGATAATTGATTAGTTTATAACTTTTTAGAAATCTCATTATATATCTACAATACTGTGGAAAAAAATCATGTGATGTTCAAGTGAGGCTGAGATATCCTTGAAGATGTTAAATCCATGCATTGCAATGGACATATGAGAAAAACCCCTCCGAGGGTAGCTTCAAATATTCTATATTTGAATATTGTGGAGAAGTAAGAAATAACAAGTGTTTAATGTTACTACCGAACCCACTCCAAATTTTTCATCCATATCCAATTTGTAGCAAAGTGTGACACTTCACATAAACTCTCAATACAAAAAAGATGTTTTATTTCAACCATTTCATTATTTTTGAAACTTGGCCTAAACTTGAAACGTACCTCTATACACTACTATTGATAATTTATCAAAGTTTTGACCACATTTTAAAAGATGGAGTGTTGGTCAATTTTGATCATATATGCACACGTCAAAACCAGTACGCAACGTGTACGCATATAAGTTACTTGTCTTACACAATGAACTAAGTGTAACATGAAAAACCAACGCGTGTTGACAAGTAAAACAAAGATTTATACGACGAAAAGTCAGCCAGCATGGAATTACTATAAAAATGTTTAAGTTGATGGATTTATTAGTTTTGCATATGCCATAATATTTGAATAAGATGGAACCATTCGTGATATTTATCGTAGTAGCGGTCTCCTTTTTCGTTTTAATTGTGATACTGAGTTTGTTGTGCCGATTAATGGGGTACCGGCCAGCCTATGGAAGTGGCGGTGGCGGTGGAGGTGGAGGTTTTGTCCACCATAACAACCTCCATAACCACCATCAATTGCACGATGGAACAATGGGTGGAGTTATGGGTGCCCCAGCTGGTGGAGCAGCATTTGACGGCGGCGGTGGAGCTGGAGGAGGTGGTGCGGGAGGAGGAGGAGGAGGAGCTAGTGCGTGTTAATTAAACTTCAAAGCAAATGGCCTATATGTTTATGAACTGAGTTTTATGTATTAGTAGTATTTACTATTTACACTTCTCATATTCTTTTCATTACTTTTTAGATTGTTTGATATTTGTAAAAGTTAATAACTAAAGAACATTATTTTTATTTATAATACTAATCAAGTAATTTTGTATAATCTAACTCAAATTGACATTGTCCAAATTATATATTTTTTTTTGTGATGATGAAGGTTCCAACTGTATAATTCTGCATTTATTAGTGTCATGAGTTATTAGATTTAGGGTACGTTTGTTTCACTTTTAAAAAAATTATTTATTTATTTATTTTTGAAAATAGATTTTACAAAATTATTTTTCAAATTATTATAAATTTTTTTATTCATTTTTTCTAAATTAAAATATTAATTTTAAAATTTTATAACTTAAACATATATTATTGAAGATCAATCCATAATTAAAATTTAATTTTTTCAAAAAGTTATATTTCAAAAATAATATTTATAAATTTATTTAAAATAATCTTAAAATTAAGTAATTTTTTAATATTCAAACCAAATTAAATTTTCATTTGAAATTTTATGAAAAAATTTTATATAAATTTTTTTTTTAATTTTCAAAAAGCCAAAACAAACCGGCTTTTAGTTTTCATCATTTTGTTTACCAATCAAAAATTTAATTTTATATACACTCATTTTAAAAAGGAAAATTTTAATTTTATATACACTCATTTTAAAAAGGAAAAGAACAAAATATGAGAAATATTTGACGGTTGGTTGAATGGATGGATAGAGTTTAATTATATATTATTTTTACTAATTACTTTTATTTACTAAAATTAAAAAAATGTTTAAAAAAAGAAAATATAGAAGATATAATAAAAAATAATATTGTTTTATGAGAAAAAATATATTGACACATGTTTTAACACTACACCGTACTACTATTTTTAAAATATCAAACAATTTGTAATTTCGTTTTATTTTAAGGGGGAACTTTTGTTCTTTTAATTTGATTTCTATAATCACTTTCTCCTCCCCCATCACAACCACAACCACACACTCTTTTAAAACTTGCAATAGTTTCTTCTCTTCTACCCGAACAAAATAGTTCCCTTTTCTTCCCGTTAAATTAAAATCATCATTTTTTTTCTTCATCAAACAAAATTTTCTCTTCTACATGAATAAATTTTTTATATATTTTCTTTCTCATCAAACTAAAATCATCCTCTCTTATATCCTCTGAAAAAAAAAGCTCAAGAGTCTCACTATATATATGATTTTAATTTCTATCATTTGTATTCACACAAAACTCGATCGTTAACCTTTATCACTCGGTTTCAGCCAAAATTGTAATGCTAAGATAAAATCTTTAAAAATTGATAAATTGTGTTTATTTTGGTGTGATTTTTAAGTATTACTCATTGTAACATGGAGTTATATGTGAGTTTATTCATTTTCAATATGTTTCTTTATAGTTTCCAATAAAGCTTTATTATAAGAGAATTTTAGTGTATTTTATGTATGAAAATTTATTAATCAATGTATGAGGTGTATTAAACATTATATATATATATATATATATATATATATATATATATATATATATATATATATATATATATATATATATATATATATATATATATATATATATATATATATATATATATTCTGGACTGACTCTACAGTTTGATTGGGCCCAGTCTAAGACATTTCCTTTGGTACGGTCTGCACGACCAGGATCTAGATTGTCCGCTCTGTCGGACAATGTCAGTTGTTTGTCCTCCCGAACTAGCACCGACCTAGGATGATCGACGAGCATCTTCTCAGTATGTTCGACATCAACGTTGTGTAGGCCACCAGAAATCGACCAGAGAGATGTCCGTAACTAACTTTCTCCTCAGGACCAACGGCTAGTTACGAGCACATCTTTCCGGTTTGACCAACTTCTGGCAGTTATCTGATTTTACAGACCCGCATACTCAGGCCTGAAATCAGGAACCAATGGCTACGCGCCAGGGACATTATATATACCCTCACATCGGTGAGTGTCAGTTATCGAATACTGATTATTCACCACCTAATACTTTGCTTGTACCTCCTTGTTTCTACTCTTACTTGATCGTCGGAGTGCCTTGCAGGTACAACCCCCTTTTTCTCTTCGACTTCACAGCCCAACTATAGATCATCTTCCGGTCACTTCTCAAGTTCTGATCAACCAGTAAGATCAGTGGCGCCGTCTGTGGGAAACTGATCTCCCCGTCTTTCTTTCCTCGAAAGTTAAGATCAAAGCAACCTTTTCAAGATTCTTCTCACTAATCATGACCGACCATGATGATCTTCACATGTCCGGAAAGACCATTATTTCCCTTGCTTGCAAAACCAACGGAAGTCAGGAACATCATAACCTCGAGGACAACCCGAGCTTCCGGGAAGGACAAACAGTGTCTCCGGATTCCACTGACGTCCGGCGCAGTAACGACCAATTCTTGGACAAGGGAAATCCCTAGAATCTCACCGAGGAACTTCCAGAAGTCATACAATCAGTTCCCATCCCTCTTAACACCGACCCGGCCATGGCAGCACTGCTCGCTGCTATCAATCAGACCAACACCGTCATCCTACAACAAAATCAAAGGATAGGGGCCTGGAAGAACATGCGATCAAGATCTCCTCCTCGGAGAACCCGACGAAGGAACTCTCCCAGTGTTTCGCCATCCTGGCGTGGCCCATCACCCAAAAAGGAGAGGCTCGACGTTTCTTTCTTCAAGAAATGCAACCGCACACTTCCTGCCAGAGATCAAGACTCCCCTTCATTCAAGAAGAGGAAAGACAACAGGAAAATCGACCGTGCTCGACTGCCTTCCCCCGAGCCGAAGTAGAAACAGAGGAGCCCCTCCCCCCGATAGGACCGTGATGATCGACGGGGAATAAACTACCATTCTCCTTCTCCATCTCCCACAGATAGTGAGGATGACGAGCCCCATGGCCCGCTATCGAGGGAGATTAGTGAAGCTCCACTTTCTGTCGGCCTAGAGAAGCCACCTACATTGGGAACCTACGATAGAACAACAGACCCTGACAAGCACATCGAGAACATCGAAGCTCTCCTCGACTACTGAGGGGTCAGGGGAGCCATCAAATGCAAACTCTTCCCAACCACTCTCAGGAAGGGGGCGATGTCATGGTACAAGAGACTCCTCGACGAATCCATCACCTCGTGGAAACAACTCGAGAGGATATTTTCGAGGCATTTCACCGCCTCCCGTCGACAACCGAAATGGGAGGCTTCGCTCGAAGCAATAATACAAGGCAGGGACGAGTCTCTGCGAGCATATATTCAACGCTTCAACAAGGAAGCGGTCCAAGTCCCAACAACAGACAACGTGAAGAAGTACCTCCTCGGGTGTGGGCTCTGTCCCCGCAGTGACTTTGCCAAAGCTGTAGGCATATAGACGCCGACCACGCTCGACTCCCTCCTCCTCAAGGCCCATGTGTACATGCAGTAAGAGGAGAATGAAACGTCCTACAGCGCCAAGGAATCTAGGCAGAGAGAGTGCGAAGTCCTCAAAGAATGAAGAGCCCTAGACATCCCGTCGGGGAGAGAATAAACGAGACGACAAGTCTCGCGATTCCAAAGACTACAAGGGGCTTGCCGGTCATTTCCACTACACTCCCCTAACAACCTCAAGGGAGCGTATTCTTTTTGAATGCGCCAATTCTGAATTCAAGCAAGCCGGGGACTGATAAAAGCAAGTATTGTAGGTTCCACAAGATTCACGGGTACAACACGAAGGATTGCATTCATCTCAAGGATGCAATCGAAATACTGAGAAAAAGTTATGAATTTTTGAACGTCCGAAAATAACGGTTCAGCACAATATTTTTACCGTTTTTCCTCAGTTTCCTTTCAATGTATCTGCACGTTTAGAGATCCTCCTCAAAGAATTTGCTCTCGATCCAAACATATGAAACGAAAAAGACATTAAGATGGTTTTAACGCCTCAAGAACCATTCTGAAACAATATTCCAATCAGAAGTTATGAATTTTTGAATGCCTGCGAGACGACGAACCAATAATTAAATTCAGTAAATGTCTTCAAAAAATAAAATTCTCGGAGGTTTTCTTCACAAGATTAGCCTTCGATCCAAAAACGAGAGGTGATAAGAAAATCAAGATGGTCTCAATGCTCGAAGAATCATTTGAAAATACCAAATTAGACCAAAGTTACGAAATTCCAAACACCCGATGAACACATAACCAGTCATTTAATTCAAGTGCCGTTTGAGGGAAATCAAATTATTTGGAGACTTTCTGCACATAATTGGCTTCTTGCATGAACATATGAAATAAATAAAATACCAAGACGGTTTAATTCCTGAGGATTCAATATTAAACAGTATCCTGATTGAAAATTGTGAAATTATAAGTTCAAACTAGCAAAAGCGTTGTTTTATGTTCACCCTCTATCAAATTCACCGAAACACCCAACTTCTTAGCAATTTAGAGTGCACGGAAATACACGAGAGCTTGACATGATGATGAGTTGATTAATCACTGGTTTGATCGCTTGAGAAACATACGGAACACACTTAGACCTTGAAAAACAAGAGTTTTACAATATTGTGCTTCCCGACAAAACAATATGTTTTTGTGTAGCTTTTGAAAAGAAAAGCCTTAATCCCATGACCATTTACTGATTAATGATGCATGCAAATGATAAATGACCTACTAATGGGTATACATAAGCCAGTCGAACATTATAAAAGGGTAGGACAAATTTGGAGTATGACATTTTTTGCTTCCAATGAATATGTTATCGAGTTTCAACGCTAACCTTTCTTCATCTTGTACATTAAAAAAACTAACAAAACCATACCTCTTACCCTTCAAATTCAACTTCTGTTGAATTACTACAATGTTAACCTCCCCATAATCCCTAAATATTTCATAGAACTCCTTTACACCATGAGTCGTTAAAAACTCCATGATGAAGA